TTAGTTTAACCATCCGATTGTTATCTTCTTTTTTTTTTTTCCTCATTCATATCCATTTTTGGTCTTTCGGTTTGAGAGGTTCAAACTCATATACCGACTAATTTTAGGATTACTTTACCTTAGATATCAAGATCCTTTCAAACCAGATGTTCTAACCAGATGTTTAAAGAACACGCACAATTATGTTGTGTTTATCATAGCATACGAGTGTGTTGTAATTTATTTAATTTGAATGGAATATTTATTATTATTACTCCCTCCGGTCCTTATTATAAGGTATTTTAATTTCGTCATAAGTTTCACCTAGGATGTCTTTTTAATTAAAACAAAAACCTTAAAACATTTCATAATAATTAAGAGAACACAACGAATGTAAAATATATTTTTAAGATTTTTTTTTTCCAACTAAAAAGACATCCTATGTTAACCTAGGACGAAATCAAAATGCCTTATAATAAGGACGGATGGAGTATTATTTAGGTAAAACTTTCAACTTTATTAAATTCTTTGAATGGAATCTCTATTAATTTGGAGTCTATACATCTTATTTAAATATTGTAAAAGGAAACAAATTCCCCTCTATACATCAATATATCCACTTTCTTAAAGTAGAAAGTACAACAAAGACGGGAAGGATCGATGGTCATACGTTGTATCTTGCATTAATTTGGTGTTCTTTGATTGGCATCTTATCAATTACCATTGTTTGATGAAAGACTTGAATCATTGTCTGACCAAGGAATTTCACATGACCAAAAACTTGTTTATCATCTGCTTTAATTAGAGACAATACCCCAACATTCCAGGACATGTGGATCATGAAACTTCTTCATGCAATTAAGATTAATAATTCTTAAATTTCAACAAATAGCGCTCGTCTTTTCAATAACCCATCTCCATATTGAGCTAAATGAAAAAATAAAAAAAGAAATGAAGACTGCCACAGAGTTCAAATAAGAGATGACAATTTTGAACGTAATTAAATTTTAGTCAAGGATCAAAGAGTTGATGAAGAATTTCGGGGATTTGAAAGTGTTCTTGGATTCATTATGTCGATTGTGTAATTCTTTCCTAAAGTTTTACCCAGAGAATTATAATATTATTATACTCATAATGGCGCATTTTAACTGTCCACTTTATGGAATGATTTTAACTTAATAAAATGGGTTAGAAAGAATATCTTTTGAGAAAATCAAATTCAATTTGTCGTATAAAACGATAAATTTCTCCGTGTGAACACTAATATTCCCCATCGATAATTATTTATTTCACTAAGAAAATAAATTGAGTCCACTTCCATTTTGTAATGTATTTCATGTACTTGCAATAAAGATACCCAGAAAACCTCTAAACATATGATGACAAATATACAAGCATTAAGTTAGCTTGCATGTGTAGAAGATTTTTTTAATTTGCATGGTGAAACTGAAAAGAGTTACACAAACATACATCAGAACAACCAAATAACTAAGCGTACTCACAGTCATTAGTGTTTTGGAGGTATCTAGCTTGATTGTAATCACTTATGTTTCTGCTAATCTCTGTACGTGAAGAATTAATTAATTTAGTATTATATTTATCACAAAGTAGGAATTATGATGTTCATAAAATTGATATGATAAAAGAAAATTTATTTTGAGACGGAAATTAAGTGTGTTATATATTCAAATATATTAACAAAGGAGTCCATGCATCTTCTTGGCTTTCCATTTCCATTTTATCAGATTCCTTTAACCTCAAGTCTGCTCTAACTTTTCTATGAAAATTTTGGTTCGAAGATTGCAAAATGTTACATGCAAATGAATCGTAGTCGTCACTAGTTGATTTATTTATTTATTTTTTCATATTGCAGGGTGTTCATCGTCGGCAACAGTGACTAATCCCTCTCGCTCATGATAGACATTTCGATGGGTTGGAGAACTTGCTAAAGGATTTAAGGTTGTTCCATGCCCATGACGAGGTTTGAAACCTCAATTATAGTTAACGGTGGAGGAGTCCTTACAACTCTATCACAACCCTTTTGGTTCTAATTTGTTTATTTCTTCCATTCTACTCTATTAAATGTGCTTATATATAATTCGAAAATCAACAATATGTTTTAAGTTTGAATTTCAATCATACTCATTATTCATCCACACACAAAAAAAATTAAAAAAAAATAAAAAATCAATTTATTGAACAAAGTAAATTAAGTTTATGATTTAGGTAACATCTATCAAACTTCTGTGGCACTCACTTATGTACTACTCCCTCCGTTCCAAAAAATAGTCCACATTGAGTTTTCAAATTTGTATTAAAAACAGTATAACACTCAAAACTTAATGTGGATTATTTTTTTGGGACGGAGGTAATATAATTTTTTACTTTATCTTTTTAAACATATCGATATATGATTTATAACCATAGCTATGATCTTAGACGTACTCTTGAAATTTGAAATCAGATCACAAAATCGGCAGACGGACATGGTGGCTTGCCAGTTCAAAGTACAATAAATTAAATCACTCTCTGCTGGTTCATTCGATGGACGAAAATCAAATTGAAATGGTCAGGTCAAAAGTCAAAATCCGGTTGAAATGGGATTGAAAGTTTTGACCCGGGCTTGACTTGGTTTTATATATGGGTTTCTTTAACATTTTCCGACAATTTTCAAAATCTGGTTGTAGTGACCTGCGTAATCATTAAAATTTAACAACTTTACAATCCAAACACCAATGTCAACAAGAACGTAAAATGCAAGATCATCCACGTAATGTTGATTGTTCCAATTGACTTTTCGTTTCTTTCCCTCTACACACAATTGTAATTGTAAATCACTTTTCACAGTGTGTTGTGAAATTTTCGATCAAACTCTACCTGATGTATATATATAAGAAAAATGGCTTATCTTCTTGATACTTTAGATGGCAATGTGAATGAACAAGTAGTATTCGCTTAGTTTTAAAAAATAATTGTCTTGTTTGTTATACTCTTTTTTGAACCCAATTAAAACATAAATTTGAACTAACTTTATTGTTAATTAATTTATACTTTCTTATTAAGAGGAGAGCGAGAGTATTTTAGAACAAAGAGAGTACTACCTTCCTTCTGACAGTGATTCGAAACGTGCCAAGCGGGTGAAATTCTTCTGCATCTACTGCCGATCGATGTTAGCCGTTTTATTTGCCAACATACCTCCACCAACGTCAGTAGCATAGCCATCAATTTGTCTTTGTTAGCCATAAAAAAATGGCGTTCCATTTGAATAAACGTGTAGTTCTGTAATGAAAAATGATGACATGAACAGCAGTATCTATGGCAATTAGACTTAGGGGGGATGCCAATTAATTTCAGCCATACTCCCTTAAAGCATGCAGTTAAGATATCTTCTGTAATAAACTTTTGTTTATAGAATTTTAGCCCTCTGGGGTTGGAACTAAAAGAACCCTTGAAATTTCAGTATCCTTCTTACCACCCTGAAGAAGTTTCATCATCATCATTTGTGTCAAAACTTTCAAACAGACTACACGAAGTTAATAATTTGTATAAAATATTCACAATATTGTCGTAAAATATTCGAAAACTTAGGTTACAGTTGATGACAGTTATCTTAGCAGAGATTGACAACTTCTGAATTCTGAGGTATCTTCACTTGGTTTCATCATCAAACCCCTAAGTTCGGCCAGTTTCAAACTCCGATCAGATTCCCTCCTTCACCACCAAAAAAAAAAAAAAAAAAAAATTGTACAACATCCATGGAGTCCAAATATCTGCTGAAGAAACTTAACTAACATAATCTCACGAAATTCGATATTCCGAAAGAAGAAAAAGAAAAGGCTGGACTCGAATGCATTAAAAAGTTAGGAAACTAAGCAAATCACCATACATTTACAAAGCCCTAAAAATGATAAGAGCAGCTGCCGTTGCGGTTAAAGATTGCTGCGGATATATTTTTTGCATGGATCATAAACCTACCTGTTCTTCCTGAAGGAGTATATAGGAATCCAAGGAACAAACAAATAGATGTAAACAAAATGGTTTGTCTTCATATAAGCCACCAATATTCTTTTGGTACAAATACTTCTTTGTCGTTTAAAGTATAGGAAAAATCGTCCATATTATGCATGGAAAAAATATTACTGATATTATATACACATATATATATATATAGGGCCAGTTCTTGGTTTTGATTTCAGAAAATCATTTCATTTGTTTTTTCAAACTAACTCAATCATTTTAGCCGACCCTTTTTTGCCTGCTTTTGCTTAATTTTGATGGAGACACAGTCTAATCATCATATTTCTACCTTCCAATTCCCTCCTGGTGTAAGATTCCATCCATCTGATGAAGAACTCATCGTTTATTACCTGAAAAACAAAGTCAAATCTCGTCCACTTCCGGCAGCTATCGTAGGCGATATCGAGCTTTACAGCTACAATCCTTGGGACTTGCCAAGTTTGTTACTTCCCTACCTCTTTAATATTATGATCATTTCTACTTTCATTTTTTTTGGAATTTTTTTGACTAAAAAGTTTTCTTCTTTGGCAATGTGTATTCAGGTAAGGCCTTATTTGGAGATGAGGAATGGTACTTCTTCAGCCCTAGGGATCGAAAGTATCCGAACGGAGCGAGGCCTAACCGGACTGCAGCTTCAGGATACTGGAAAGCAACTGGAACTGATAAGCCTATACTCAGTTCATCTGGTGCCAGGATTGGTGTTAAGAAAGCTCTTGTTTTCTACATCGGAAAGCCGCCTAGTGGGATGAAGACAGATTGGATAATGATCGAATACCGGCTTCCTGATACCCTTGTTAGGCCTTCTAGATCTAAAGGCTCCATGAGGGTAAGTCCAAAAAAACAAAACTTTTTGACTCTGAAGAAAATAGTCGTGTTTGTTCTACTGTTTTATTTTGGGACGAAAAAAGTACTATACCATACATGATATTGATCAGTCTCAGGAATGATTTTTTTACATGCAGTTGGATGATTGGGTCCTATGTAGGATCAAACAAAAAGGCAACATGTCAAAGAATTCATGGGAAGTTCCACAGAGCCCAACTAAAGGCAGGGGAGATGTTCTTGATAATTTGGGACAAACTCAGAATCATAATACTAATAATTATAATAATATCTCATCAGAAGTACTCAGCTCAAACTATTTCCTATCTAAAGATTGTCACTTGCTGGCAAAACTTCTTGGCACTACAACTCAAAGTTTTCCACCTATGGAAAATGATCATAATTCGGCATCTTCTCAAAGCAGTATCATTACCAGTAACAACACAAATTACGAAAATGGAAGTATGAGACAGGACAATCTACTCAACAACATTAGTCCTTTGTTTAATGGAGCATTCAATCTGCAAGGTAAACGGATCAATGATGCGAATGATGAGTATGAGACTAGCCCGCCATCGAAGAGGACGATGATTAATCTTAACAACAAGAATGACCATCTGTTCTCTGGTACTGTGACAACTACAAGTGGCTCAATGTTCTACAGTAATCAACAACAGGGGAATGGAGACAAATTCAAGGTTAACATATCCAGTCCCATGATGAACATACAAGAGCTTGATGTCTTTACATTTGCTCAAAGATTTCTGCAGCAGTGAAGAACTGGCCATCATCATTAGATGCTTTTTTTCTTTTGCAGCTCAATCGAGCTCGATTTTAATGGCGCATCGATCACTGATGTATTGTAATCAAGATGATGCTTGATGCATCTTTGATTTCTTTCTCATACAAATTGGTGTGGAGTGCATGCACTTTTTACTAGCATCATATTACTGTTACATTTGATCTTTCAGTCCAAAACCTTATACTTGTGTTCAGCATGTTTTCCGATTTCCTAGTGTTCCTTAACTTTGGCTTCAATAGTAAAATTTTTAAAATTTACTTGTGTTTATCGTGTGTTGGACAAGAGAAAATGTGAAAGTACTGTTTCATATGAACCAATGAGGAGCTCTATCGAAATCGAAGATGAGATATCCTTAGTTTTGTTTGCTTGCTGAATGTTCCTTTCATGTTCAGCATATTCAATTGGAATGAACTGTACGGTTATGGACATTGATGTTCACGTCAAACAAACTATAATCATCCAACAATACTAGTTTATAAATGATTGTGACAATTATAACGACAGATTATCAAGATTACCATTGACTATAGATTCAATCAGCAGATTTTATCTATCATTCAGCAGATTCTGATCTGATTGGTTTCAAAAAGTTGCTGTTTTATTAGATACAAGTTTATATCAATGGTGAAACATACAGCCCTTTCCGCTGTTTCCGATATACGCACCTAAAACTATTCCTTTGTCTGATAAGAACAAGTATTTTTAGAACAGTCAAATACTGCTCCAGTTCCTGAACTAATCTAAACATTACCGGTCGTAATCATTAATATGCACTGCTCAAGTACAAAAATACGTAAAACTAGACATGAGAGTGCATTATCGAGACATGAGTTCCAATATGAAAAGTTGACAGCAGATTCAATGTTACGCATTCAAGATCATAAAAACTCAAGCAGGTGATAGTATCGATTGTTTATGTATAAGATTCAAGGATCAGAAATTGATCACTCATTTTCCGTGTTTTTCATACAACAGCAGCACTCAGTAACATCTGTTGCGAAACAATCTTATATACATTAATATGTTGCTCCAAAATCAATTGGCAAGACCTTCTTGAAGCTGGAATTAAGTAGGAGCTAGGAATGAACGTCCGAAATATAGGAAGTCTCCAGTAACAAACCGAGATGATCTCATCAGGGAGGGGCGTTTAAAGCGCTTGCCTATTGAGTCAGTACACTGCAAATTATAGAAAAAGAAGTTTATACATTATGAGTTCATGGAATAACTTTTACAATACTTTCTCCGTTTAGTGCTTCCATCTCCTCTTTGGCAGGTGTTATACGTTGATCAGTTGTCAGTAATCCAGATACACAAACTTATGCTAAAAAGCTAAACAGAAGTATTTGAATTATCGAAAATGACTTAAAACACAAAAATATGTATGATGGCTAGAAACTGAGAAGCACATAATGGAATGTAAAGTAACTCACTTGTACAGATAGCCAATAATTCCCAGAAGAATGCACACGAGAATGATGTCGATCAACACATTACGACTGGACCTAACCTGAAAGGATAGTTTTGAAGAAGATGGTTGTGGTAACCAATCAAAACAAGAAGAAGTGAAAATTGACAAGATTTTAGGTTCAATACCTTTGTTATTGTGTCCTTGAGTCTGACATTTGTGTTTTTGATATCAGATGTTGCTTTATCCACCTGTAGATACCAATGTACATAATTGGCCATTAAAGATGTTCAAAACTGTGTCTATTTTAGCATAAGTTCAACAGATAAACTTCAATTATTACACACCTTAGTTTCGATTTCATCAACTAATGGAACTTGCCGATCCAATTCCTGAGAGAAAACATTAGATAAGAAACTTACTAATCTCATCCAGCTTATAACAGCATGATAGATAATCGCTAACCTCATTCATATCTCGAGCCAAATTCTTCAATGTATCCAAACCTTCTGAGATAACATCTAAGCCTTGATCCTGAGAAAATAGTAAGTTTGGATTTCAAGAGCATAAGGACTTTTGAAGTGAACTTGATTGATTAAAAAAAGCCAAATTCAAGAGGAACAAGTGATCGTTACAAGCCTGTTTTAGTTTCCGCATTTCATACTCCTCCCTAAATTGATTCGATTCCTCAGATTGCTGAAAGAATTCATCACCAAAGTTCCCATCTGGTATAAAAATATAAACACAAAAGGCATTGCATGCATAAGAAGGAATTTAATAAAAAACAACAGAACAATAACCACAATCAACCAATCAACGATTTTTTTTTTTTTTTGGTCACCTGAATCAAACTTTATGTTTCGTTTAGAAGCTGAAGTTCCCCAACCTCCAGCCTTTCTGGTATCGCTTGAAGTCCCATCCGGTATAGCACGAATCCTCTCTGGTAATGCAAGAACCAAATCATACCGATTCTCCAGCTCTTCCTTTGTTAGACCCTTCACCTGTTCCTCATGTCATTATTGAAAATTCAAATTCAGAGGAAAACAGTAAATCACAATTCACAAACTTTTTTCAAAATTATTAAACAATAAAAAAAAAAAAAAAAAGAAACAACAAATTTTCGACCTTCTTCTGTGAGAGTTTCTGCAACTTAGGAACCTCTTCCAACAATCGCGCCTTTACCCGTCGAACCTCTGCATTCATGGCCACCAACTTGGCCCTGTTTGTCTCCACTGCAGCCATCTCCGATTTCTACAATTTCATCCAAAAAAAAAAAAAAAACCCTTTCAGCGCCATAAAATCAAACACAACAACGTCATGAAATGCCAGCAAAGAAACTTTCACAAGGAAAATGGATCAGAGACTTGGAGGGCCGCATCGATTTGGTCTTCAAAAGAGGAAAAAAGGCGAGCGAACGCATCGTCGGAGGAAGCGCCGAGGGAACGCTGCTTGTCGACGTCGTATTTGTCATATTTCTTGCAGATTTCGTCGACTCTGAACAGAATGTCAATCACGCTCATCTTTTAATTTTCTTTTCTGGAAAATTTGAAATAAATTAAATTGGGAATTGATTAAGAGGAGAAAGAGGATTAGAAGAAGGATCAACAATTAATGATGAGAAGATCAGCTTAGTTTTGACAAATTTTTCTCTCTTCCTGAAAGTCTCAATGGCTGCCATTGGTTCTCTCTTTTTTTTTTTTTTTTTTTTTGCTTAGGTTGAAGAAAGATGAATGGCTGGACGTTAATGTCGGTTATAACGTGGCGGGAGAATTAAAACATAAGAACATTAAATGAACTAAAATAAAATGGAAATCTGTAATGTTTTTATTAGCAGATTTATTTGGGTACACTAAAAATAAAATAATAATGAAAAAGAAAAATTAATTTTCATTTATTTTTATAAAAAAAAAATTATGGAACCTCCGACCGAACCTACAGAATTTCTCATATATGGAAGCTCTTGGAGGTAGAAATAAATAATTTAAGCTCATTACTGTAATGAAGAAACAAATGGAGTCTCAAAAAGAAATTTAAAAAAAATAACATAAATAAAACTCTATCCGTCCTTTTGTTTTTGCTGCCTCTTTTTCTTGAATAAAAATCTTATAATGTATACATATATATATATATATGGTTACATATAAATAAATCCGATTGTGAATCTTTCTCATCTTTGCAAGTTTATCAATAAAATAGGATTTTCCCTTCGTTTTTTTCCCCCTTCCTTCTCATCACAAGGAAAAAAAAAAGGAAAAAAAAAGCAGTTCAGTTCATTTTATTGAACTAAAATATTTAAAACAAATTGAAGTATATTATTCCGGGTTGATGGAAAGAGTAAATTAAAGTCCATTGAGCTTAAATTTTGACAGAAAGAGTACCTTAGATTGTATTTAGCTTCAATTTTTATTTTTATTTTTTCATGTAAGGGACCAAAATGGCAACGGTAAAACTTGAGGGCTCAATGTGGTGGTAGTTTTGGAAGGATGGTATACTGATTTAAGTAAAGAGCGGTCACTTAAATTAGATTACTGCCTACGATGATTAGTAGATGGGGTCTTGTTCCATTCGTTTCATTTATAAATATTAATAACCACAAAGTGAGAAAATTGATTTTGTTGGATGGAACTTTTATTATTATTGACCCTTTCTGGAAGAACCATTTTACTTCAATAAATACAATTCTGCATACACAACACAGCGTATGCGTTCCAAACCATTAGAAAAAATAGTTTCAAGAATGCATTTTTCGCCTCCATATGAACGAACTATACATCAGACATGTAGGTTACAGTTGTAATAACATCAACAAAACAAATTGTTTGCAGAGCAGACAGAGAACATGAATTATACACGAAGATATAGGTTCCAAATAATTTACAAGGACTCATCAGAGCAGAATCATGCTCTAAAATTGTAACTTTTCACAGAACGTTTCTCTACATCATATGTGGAAAGTCCTACCTCTCTATCAAAAGCAGGAAATATAGTGTGCTACAGAGGCTTGCTGCAAGCGGTGGAGATTGCGGACTACCGTCTTCTAGACACGAATATAATGCCAATCAGCTCTCAAATGCTTCTCCACTCATATGATATTTCCGGACCATCTTCCTATAATCTGCAAAACAAATTTCAAGTTTAACCTCTTGCCTCCAGAAAGAGGACTTTCCTAGCTAACTGATGCAATCAAATCCAAACCCAAAAATAGTTCAATTTTCCTGTATACATCAAGTTTTGGAGCCAGCTTTTCACGTTTTACGTGGCAACTTACTTTGCTGATTGGTCTTGTAATCCATACTGGGATTCTTTTGAAACTCTAAATAGTCTTAACTGAATAATAGAGTTGCTTTAAGATCAGGACATGTTGTTTTGCAAGAAAAAGCTAGACAATCCTTTGGTCCAAGAGAATATTCATGTTACTCATATGATTAGTAGTCCCAATGGAAAAAGTGAAGTATAACTGGTAAAATAAGGATTAAGCATGAAAAAACAGCTAATGCAATGTGTTCTAGTCCAAAACTCATATGAGCCGTACGTTAAAACTGGACCTTTTATTAGGACAGACTTGAGTAAATCCTATTAACTTATTGGGGATAGTCCCTCTTACCTTACAGCCAATGCAAATTTTTTAAAGAATGACAGCACCACATGGTGGCCAGCCAAATATCGTCACATTTCTGAATGAGAATTTGGCCATGTTAAGTCAGATTCTTTAGTTCTTACTAGTGAACCATGAGAAAAGTTACACGCCTAAGCAACCAAGTAAACACTTTCAGGAACAGAAATGACTGACTAGGCAACAAAAGTGAAATATAAGAACCCTAACCTTCGGGAATCTTCCAAAGTGCCGCAGCCGAGCTGTTGAGAGGACTTTCATTATTGGGTTCTACATGCATAGAATAGAATAAGAAAATAGGAAGAAACTCTAGCATACTATCCAAAACAAAGTGCAAAAGGAAAAATCAGCAGATGCATTAGGTAATTTCAAACCTCCTAACAGACTCTGTATTGATAGAAGAATTGTTCTGCAATCATAAGCTGAAGACCACTTGTCCTTCAAAAAGCAAACCAAAACAATATGTCATTCAAAGCCTGATATTGACCATAAAAGTAAAGCAGTAGACACTGCAGAGAGAAGGGGATAAAATTTCATATAAGAAAACAGAAGGGTTTCAAAAGCACATTTAAGGGACGGCGCTTATTTTTGAGAGTTACAATCTTCAGTACCATTTAGTTCCTTGTTGTTCATGCTTTTGGCATTGAAACCACATTTGCTTTTTTTTTTTTTTTTGAAACCATATTTGCTTTTACTAACTTGAACTCATCTATAAAATATATACCTGTAAAATGTCCAAGCAGATATTCCCATACTGATCAACATTTGGATGGAAACACATTGTCTCGAACTTTACTTGCGGAGGCTTGAAAGGATAATCGATTGGAAAACGTAAAGAAAGCTTGTAAGATAGGCCATCATACATAGTTCCTTTACCACCCTCAATGGTGCCAACCCATGTAAATATATTTTCGCCTTCAGGAAAAGCAGACACTCCAAGATCCCCTCCACTCATCTGCAAGCATGAAGGACATAGTATAAGTTTCAGAACACAAAACTGACAATTTACAAAGTCAATCGTTTTATGCTAGTTGAAGGAAAGCACCTATCAGCAACTGAGAGAGGGGGAGAGGGAATCATGTGGCAACCCCCTATTGGCAAAAACTCAAGGAATAAACTTTTGCTGAAATTATAGAGTGCTAAGTAAAGTAGACATCAATATTTTAATTTAAATCTGAATATCAAGATCAAAGTACATCGCGATTTATCTGATTATTCACCTGCAATTTCAATTTACTTGAAATCAGGAATGATCCGAGATTTATGCATTAAAATCATAAGAATCTCAAAATTCTTGGACTTGTACCATCCTTGGTAATAGCCATACCTTCTGAAGAAGGCCCCCTCCCTCACTGACAGATCACAAAGAAACAGGAAATCTACGAGCACTGGAAAAATATTACTACCAATTGCACCAGCCAAGAAACAGAAATGATAAAATATTCTAGTAAGAATAACCTTAATTTCATTTTCTCCAAATAGTTGCAAAGTGGCGAACATTTGCAAAGTGAGAAATAGAGTCTATTCCACACCAACCACTATGTCAAGGAATAAGAATATTCATTCATTCTGCGTGTAAATATTACGGTTTGGAAAAAGCTGTGTTGGGAAGTTCATAACCACTAAAAGAAAGATTTTTTATACAAAGGCTAAACAACAGAAACTAGATAACACGAATTCAGATGCCAGCGTCTGGCTAATATAATCCAAATCCACCTTTTGTTATCATCTGGAATTCCCATTGATTACCTAACAGACTCGTCCACATAAATTGAGAGTAATTTCATAACTCAATCATTAAATTCTATGAGCATAAAGGCAAGAGATTAGCTTAAATTACTAGGCCAGTAAACTTCCATTGCTTCAATGGAACCTATGCAGCTTTTACCTAGATTAATAGCAAAGAAACGGAAAACCAACAAAAGTTAATTTATCTCTTTAACTCGCATTAGAACCACAGGGCAATTTAGTGTTCAAAAAGGAATTCGTCCGCTTTGGAGATACAACGAAGTCATTTGGACTAACAATCTTTCTTATGTCTTTCCTCCGTTTTGCTTAAAGTTCAAAACTTTCACTTTGTAAATTAGTATTCTTTTACATCAAATGGCCTTTTAACTACAACCAGACTGAAGACTAATATAATCCAAGAAACGACCAGATGCACATACCCTTTAATAAGACAACATACAAGAGGGAACTGTCAAACTACACAAAACATAATCAAGTTTGGGCAATTCTTAAGCATCAAATTTCAATCTTGAAAAAAAAAAAAAAACCAGCAAGAGAGAAGAAACTTACCATGAGAGCCATCAGTTCTTTCTGCAACCTGCATAACATATCAACCAAATTATCAAGAACAACGCAAATCAGCCCAAATTCATTATTATTAGTAACTTATCCGAAAAAGAATTATAATTTTTTGGACAGAGAATCAAGTGCGTGGAGCGACCTCTGGGTAACAGAATTGGTATCAACGGCGACCGGAGATGTCTTGAGTTGCTTAGACGAAGCCGGAGACGACTGTTGATCTTCCGGCGACAAGTTGCCCGCTCCAACTTCGTTCCGAACCTCCATTATCCAGAACAAGATCGGACCCCACTAATTTTTCTGGCCTCTAAAATCGAATAAGAAATTCTGAGGATCAAAGTAAAATTAATCGGAAAAACCCAGATTGATCGATCAGTTTGTGGGCTCCCAAAATTACTCAATAATTGCCAAATGATTCATTTATATATTACAGTTCACTAAAACAGACAGCAGAGAGACAGAAAGAAAAGTGGCTGTAATTTTAAATTAAAAACTATAATGAAAAATTTACCAAAAGAGACGTATCTATACACGCAAAGGCGATGTATATATTTGTAGAGAGGAAGGATAGATAATACGATCAGGAGTGCGTGACTGTGCGTGTGACAGCTGCGCCGAAAACCAGATTGATAGAAACTTAGAATAAGAAAAAGAAGAAGAATCTGGGGTTTTTACATGTGAGCAATTACGGAAAAGAAAAGGTTGGCCTTTTTTTCTCACTGTGTGTTTTTGGGTGGTGATGGTGGTGCAGACAGATCACTGCAGAGTACACATAAAAAAGAAGGGGGTGAAAAGTGAAAAAATTGTTGAATTGCCATTAAAAAGTGAAGGTCCATCGTCCACCTATATGTCTCTCCATTGATCCATCCATTTCATTTACATCTGAGCAGAAAAAGGGTCAACCCCACAGTCACAGAAGATCGAAACCCCATTCCTAGGAATTCTTCTTTTTTTTTCGCATATGAATCCAACCCAATAACTGCTTGTAGGACACATGCCAATTTGGAGTGTGGGAACAATGCCCAACATTTTTTACTTCTTTTGGTTAGCAGGTTAGGTCGTTTGTTTGGTACTCGTACTTGCATTTTGATTTTATTCTAAATTACACCTAGACTATCTTTTTAATTAGAATAAAAGACATTTTGATTTCGTTCTAAATTTCATTTAAAATATCTTTTTAATTAGAATAAAAATCTTAATAATATTTAATAATAATTAGGAAACGTAATGAATATAAAAATATATTCTTAAAATTTTTTTTCTAATTAAAAAATATTTTAAATTAAATTTAGGACGAAATTAAAATATCTTTATTATAATAAAGACCGGAGGGAGTATGATCTACAAAAATGGCTGTTAAAATGTAGTATTGCCATGTGAAAATTAACAGCCTTGTTATTGTTGTTTAGCTCCTTTAGTCATGACATTACTGTAAAAGGAAAAACCATTTCTGTCTCGACTCTCGAGTAATAATAATATTCTCTCAATCAAAATCATTAGCCAATATGATAAATTGCAATAGTTTATGACTTTATATCTATCTGCACTTCATTTCTTGGATTCCTTCATGAAGTAGATATCATTATCAAAATATTTGCATAAAATTAACCCTTGGCCCCTCACTGAATGAATATTAGGGAGCCCATTGGGGATTTGGATCCAACTTTAGAGATGAGGATTTAAAACATCTTATTATTGACCTCCGCTCCAAACCATATGACACTTTCTTTTTTCTTTTGGTAGACTGGCACTCCGTTTCTTGATCATGCATTTGGGTGGTGCTTCAAAAATCCTGATACTTCTTTGTGGTGATCGTTATTGAAAAAGCTTTACCTCCAGATAATCCCATTCGAATTAATTACGATAATAGTTTCAACCCCCAAATAACCCTACCGGAACCCATACTACTGGAGAGAGGTATGCAACAATGGGATTTCCTTGAATCCCTCTGTCCCATAAATAGTCTATCCATTTTGACGTATACGTATTTATTTTACTCAACAAAGTGAACTATTTTTTCTGGAACAGAACAAGCACCATTTAATATGATTGTTATTCCCTCCATTCGAAAATAAGTGTCGTTTTAACAAAATGGAGAAGTTTCAAAATAAGTGTCGTTTTTAAATTCCAATGCATTTTTTCTCAAAAATTTCCAAACATACCCTCAAAAAAAATAATATTATTGGTGATCATTTATTTTAATGGGGTTGGTTGAGGATATTCTAGTAATTTAACTACCATATTTAATGTTTTCTTAAACTGTGTGAAAATTCTAGAATGACACTTATTTTGGAACGGAGGGAATCCCACTTCTAGGCATTACTCAAAGAGTGACCACAGACTCAATCAAGGCCTCTTGTACAAGTTCAGTTCCAAAATATAATGAAACACAGTACCAATGTGATTTCAGATTGGGGTGTATGAATTCAGGGCAGAAAACACAGAGGAGACTTCTTGCTCATGAGAATAGGCTTCTCTCAACAATAAATTCCAGTATTTGAGTAGGTAACATGGTCAGAGAAACCATCATCTAGCTACATAGAACAACACAATCAAAGTAAATGAAATGCAGACAGATTCACAGGCTTACTTTGTGAACTGTGAAGCATACATCAAATTGATGTGCAGAAGAACAATTGTGAAAAAGGCAAAAACAAACAGTCAGATGGATCATAAACGGGGGGATCAATTGTGAAGCATTATCATCAAAAAACCATATGGAGATTCTTGAAGGTGAATTAGCACCATTACAAGCTTTTCAGTCCAAACAAGCATGGCTCAACAGGAGGAAGATAAACCTAAGGCCAGCAAAACAAGTCAGAACAACTGAACCTAGTACACGGATTTCTTTCTTCTACCCACAATTCTATTGAGTATGATTACTAGCACAAGATAAAAAAAAAAAAAAAAAAAACCTTCCTCTAGTGAGAGGTGATAATTTACCATAAATGCTGGCATTTTGCTAACAAAAAAGAGTTAAGTTCATCAAAGATGGTCCTTTTCATATAAAAGGGTCTCAAACAAATACGGAAAGTCAGATCTATGGTGGATTTAGAGATCTTGGACACAAGGGGAACAGCCCGGATCAAAGTGTACTTCAGCAACTAAGCTGTCTACTTCTCTACATTAAAACATTTATAAAGTTGAAAGCAAAAGAACTGGGCAAACTAGTACTAACTCGATAGACAACTCAATCAATTATGATTCGACTGCAAATTCCAAATAATCCATACAAATATAGAATTACGCCCCCAGAAAACAACACAAAAACGCCAGAAGAGAAACAGGGTACAAACCAATGCAAGAAACAGAGGAAACCGGAACAGAGCAACCAGATGTACTTTCAGTTAATCTCACATGCATATAGAGGACAGAGCAGATGATCAAATAAAATAGATTAGTCTAAACAGTACTAAAAGATGCCAATTTTAGCAGAAACATCTTACTCTAGAAAGTACTAAAAGTACCAAAAGCCCAAAAAAAAGAGAAAAAGAAAAACAAATTCTGTTTCAAGAAAAACCAAAATTCATTAACAGAATTAGCCTTCTTTAATCTATTCACCCGTTTATAAAGGAGGGCAAAAAACAACAACAGGACATTGTCATTGACTAAAAAGCCCAATAAAGAGAAGAGCTCCGACACCATAACCCGAACCCACCGGAAATTCAAGCTCCGGGCACCGATCGGCGGTATAGCTTTCCAAACACGTGGAGGGCGGTGACGAATCCGATGAAACACACACTCATAACGAGGACCACGGTGGGGGAGATCTTGAGCCCAGGGGCATCATCCGTGTAGAACCTCAACATGTTCCCGGCGGAGCCGCCGCTGGTGCTCACGTTGGAGGAGCCGCCGCCGGTTCCGGTGCCGAGACGACGGCGGCGCATGCCGGCGGTGGCTGCAGCCGAGCCACGGGGAGCCACCGTGCCCGGGCGGCTGGTGGAGCCGGAGGCCGATTGAGACTGGGAAGTGCCACGTGCCATTTTGGTTTGTTTTCTTCGTTGCGGGGAACGCTTGGCGGAGTAATCGAGTAGCTCGAATTATTTGTGTAACGGATTTGGAATTTTGGATAGAGCTTATTAAATGTTAAAACATATATCCGATTCCAATTTTCATTAGCTTTTTTATTTTATTTTATTTTTATAGTACTAAACTAAGAAGTTTGGTTGACTTGACTGATTCTTTTCCCTTGTAAATAAACTTTTTTGGGTGGGGGTGGGTGGGTAATTTGATTAGATTTCCAGAATCTGCTTCCGAAATGAAACATTGGTAACAAAGTGCCTTTGATGGTTTCTGAATACAAAATACTTTCTCCGTTCCGAAATACCTGTCCAATTTACTGATTGTAACAAAAATAATTAATTAATTAAAAAATAAAAAGGAACACCGTACTAATTTTGTAATAATAGTAGTACATAATACGTTTAGATTTTTATTTATTTTTCTTTTTTTAAATAGGATTAATAGTGGTTCTTCACTTACTCTCGGTGTGATTCGAACCCATAACCTATTGGTCAAAGGTGAGACGTCTTACCACTAAACTGCACCTCGTTACTCTCGGTGTGACTCGAACCCGTGACCTATTGGTCAAAGGTGAGACGTCTTACCACTAGACTGTACCTCGTTACTCCCGATATGACTCGAACCAGTGACCTATTGGTCAAAGGTGAGACGTCTTACCACTAGACTGCACCTCGTTGTCACATAATACGTAACAAAAAGTGTGTTGCTTAGCATACTTTGGGAGTGAGTGATGATATTGTTCATGTAACAAAGCATCCAAATATGACACCAATTTATTTAATCCTATAAGCGGGGACTAACATTTTTCATCGAATGGTACAACACGATTTCTCTGTGATCAAAATCTAATGTTACATTTTTATTTTTTTTCTTTGATGCAACGATTAAATAAATTCATTAATATGGCTGAAAATCGTACAACGATTGAACCCATAAATGTAAGAGGAAATCTCCTCATCGAGTCCTCAAGCAATCTGGATTTGAACGTCAATTTATTTAGTGTACACATTATACTTTGTTTTAGAAGGTTTTAAAGCTAGAAATTGATACGCCTCCTTTTTCAATCATCAATCTACTGATAAAGTTGTAATCACAATTCACAACCAAGAGACTCTTTATTCCGTACGAAAATTCACACCAAGAAACTAACTAAAAACAGGGGAACAAGAAGAAGAAACAAAATTTCTAAAAGCAATTTCTGGGCAGAAACTTTTATGTCTTCTTTTCCCTCCTCCAGAATCCAGAACCACCGATTACAATATACACCTCCTTTTCTTTTTACCAATCAACGTGAGCTGAATCCACCATCATGTGAAGAACCAATGAGCCTCTGTTTCGTTTCAGAATGAATCTCCCTTGACTGAATTGCAGAAACCGGGGATGAACAGAATTGATGATGACGACGGCGATGATGATGATGATCATCATCATTATCATCAGGATTAGGAGCCAAGGCGAAATGGGCTACGGCCACCGACACGAGAAGTACACCCAAACAAAACAGAGCATAGCATTGCCGACCCAATTTTGCCATCTCCTTCTGGAAACTCTCCATTATCAGCTTAAGAATTTCCTCTGTTTTTTTTTTCCTTGCAGTAATCTGAATATGATTATGGTACAGATTGTATGAACACTTCAAGCATTTAATGAGAATCAGAATACCGGGGAAAGAAAAACTATGGGTTTGTGTCAATTATTAAGGGGGAAAGAGAAAAGTGATGGGCGGCAAAACAACAAAACATTACAGAAGTTTGTGCCTTTCTCCGGGGCGGATAATGTTAAAGAATGCTTGTCGTTTACTATTTTAGGAAAGGTAGCCAAGGCCCATTAATGTTACTGTCCATTTGGTTAGGCTCAAGTACTGAGAAGTGAGAAATCTCTGATGGGCTTTCAACATCTTGGCCCAGAAAAGTTGCTTCAGCCACACAGATTGTTTCTCCTGTACTCTAAAAATATCATCTATGTTCTACCAAAAAAATAAATAAATAAAAACTATCATATACAGTATGTGGCTTTATCTTATTTTATTGTCTTGATATTTTACCATTTTCCTCCTTAAGCCGATCACAAAATTCTGGGTTCAATTCCGTACCTCTTTTCTTTGTCAAACGTTTGTTTGTAGTTTGTATTGATTATGAGACGAGAGTTTACGTTATACTTACAAGCATGATAATATATACGGACAAATAATTGTTGAGAAATCTTTGTCTCCATAAAAAAATCCACTTGAGTCGAGCGAGAACTAGTCTAATAATTCTGAACAAACTATGTTAAATTTTTCATTTTGATTTTTGTATATGAAAATTAATTCATCCAATTTTTAGATCTTAATTTTTCAAATCGAAATATTTTTTCACATCCTGAACAATATTAACAAAGAAAATGTTCGTCGTGCATGATGTAATTCTGATCAGAGAGGAACAGAGGTCTCTTCAATCTTTAATAAAATTCACGTTAAAGCTGCTAGAAGGAGAAATTACTATTCTTGCAACGACCATGTTTGAACTCCAACGCTGTTCGTTTGAATAGATCTATGAGTAATGTGAAAACAAGATAAAATGTACCCACGAAAAGGTCCACCATAATCTAACAAAAGATTAGTATCATGGCTTTTGAAAAGTATTACTCCATCTGTCCCAAAATTATTGTCCAATTTGAGATTTCACCTTTAGTACAATTTGAACTAGAAATGAAATTCAAACTAGATAATAATTAAGGAACGGAGGGAGTAATAAATAAAAGGATGTCATGTTTCATCGGGAGGCCGCAGATTTCTAAATACTTCTCTCAAAAACAATATTTCACTTTCTTAAATTGCTTTGATTCAACTAATTAAATAGATGTAAAAGGAATGAATACAGACCGTGGGGGAGATGAGCCTGGACTGTTTTATAGTACTACTAGAGGACCAGAGGTTTGATTCCTTAAGTTGACAGCATTTTTGGACGTAGATGCCATAACAAAGACAAGGTTAAAGAACAAGACACAGAAAAAAATTCAGTTAAGAGAGACAGAATGCAGCCATTGCATTAACCTATTCAGCGTCTTGGTCTACACTCTATACGGATTGATTGATGCCCTTTAACCACCCTGCCCGTCAATGAAATTTTTATGAATAAATTTCGCACCACATAAATAATCTATTTTATTGTATTAGTTTAATTCAACAAAATTAACTATTTTTTTGGAATAAAGATAACATATACATTCTTGGTGTGATTTAATCTTAGGGAAAAGAGGATCCAATGATCCATATTGCCACAACTTCGTTTAGTTTAATGTGTTTTTTCATTGTATGACCAACTGCCATAGGATTTTCCATGACACATATAATTAATATTAACACGCATTATGCTAAAATATTAAGTGAATTTTTATATACATATACAATGACTCGACATCTGTTAAATACTACGCGAAAACGTTTCGCAAGAAGTATGACGTATTACAGAAAAACATTTCCTATTTCATCATGATTATACAACAAATATTTTTGCAACTGTATAATCGATACCTAGTCAAAATGGAGATATATACTATTCCTAAAATGACAAGAGGCATTAGGCCACTGGCTAAAAGTAACTTATTCCAATTTTGTATTCCCTCTGTCCCCAAATTATTGTCTAATTTGGATTTTCATTTACTCTAAAAATTTTGGTACGGGAGAGTATAAATGAAAATCCAAATTGGACAATAATTTTGGTACGGGAGAGTATTACTCTAAAAAAAAAGTCATAGAAACTTCATTTAGAGAGCAACCCTCAGTATTCCACAACGGAATTTTTCGTGAATTTACAATATCATAAACAAACCAGCTGGCTAAATACATTTTTTTAAAAAAAAAAAAAGAAGAAGAAGAAAAATTGAATGAAAGCAAACTCATCCCAAAGTGACTTCATTGCCAACATGGGGGGGTCTCGGCCGAGAAGATATACAATAGTTCTATGCTGACTTTTATATCGTCGTCATCATCATCGATCAATAATTACTATATATATACCCTTTTCATTCATTTACCAAAAGTAAAATCAGATCTTCCACTATGTGTTTGATCTGGAATTCTGTTTTGTTGTTGAGGCAAGGGAGCCACCTGCGATGTCGCCGACGATCCGCCGACATTGTTGTTGTTGTTACTATTATGCCCTAAGGACCCGAGTTCGATGTCTTGGAACTGGTCATATTGACGTTGATGATGATCATGGCTACTACCCTCTTCGAGTTGCAAGAACCTGGGAGAAACCGAAGGCGAGCCTTCGTTATCCCAATCGTAATTCGACTTCCTTGGCGATGTTTGGAAGCTGTCGAGATCGCTCTTGTAATGGCGCAAGAGATGCACCGGCGACATGCCGTGGGACGGCGTCGCTGCCCGGCTGTCTAGCGGCGACGGGAACCCGGAGTGGTTGTGCTTGCTCTCTTTCACGTGCTTCTTGGCTGTGTGGTGCCATGCTTTCAATGCCGTGGCTACTCTTTCGTTGAATATTGTTGGTTTCATTGTCGATCCCATCTGTCACACATTTAAGATCGATCGCAACCAAAATTAGTAAAATTGATGTTACCATTTATCAAATCATTGTTGAAGTCTTTTTTATCATTATTTTTTACTTCCCAAAATAACAATCAGATATCAGATTAAGTGTCGTATAAAACAGCATAATCTGTTTACCTGTGTTACAAGGGCATAGAGAGGAAGTGTGACATAACTGCAAAGAATTTGTATGAGAACCCTGGAAAAGAAACCAAGCATTAGTTGTTAGAATATATTGTAGTCTAAACAAAATTAAACGTATTTATTTATTATACTTTAAAAGAGATAGTTCATTATTTATATCATTATTACCCCATGGAAATTCTAATAATGATGTCCTCCAAATGCTCATGGAAGCAAGACCTCAGACCAAATTCATACTGCATTAATAAGAGAGCTCAATTTAATTAGAATATGAAGAAAAAAAATCGTAATAAAGAAGGTGGAACTTTAGAAAATAATAATTAGTTGAAAGTGTAAATTGCTTACCCAAGTCCAAGCAAAGAAGGCAAGTTGGAACGCATTCTGAAAGAGAACGAAATTAATGAGGTAAAGAATGAGCCGAGGGCGGTTGAACCAGAAGAGGTCGTCTCCCGGTTGAACCACGGGTACACCCTTCACGACTTCACCTCTTTCTTGAATCCTTAGACCCATTTTCGTTATAATAACTTGTAGCTTGGTCCCAACTAACAAGATGATCTGAAATAACATTATCATATATATTTTTCATTAATTAGCATTGATAAAGTCAAATTTTGGAAAATTAATATGGAGAATGTTTCAATAGTATATGTATATACTTACGATTAATGGGATGAAGGGAAGCCACAAATATGAGTACCAACCTGTCCAAATTAAAGCAAAGACATGAAAAGATTATTAGTCAAAAACAATAATAAATCACAACAATATATATATATATATATATATATACATAAATCTGAAATTTCTTTCTACGGATTTTACTCACCATGGGTGTTGAAAAGGAGGAAAATGACGGCAAAGAGCCAGATTACAGGGCTGAAAAGAAGTAATTAACCAGAAAAAGTGTTAGATAATAATACAAAGACGAATTTTTGCTTCTTCTATAAATTAGTAGTAGAAAAATAAAAACGATTAAATTCAATTGTAGAACAAACCTGATTCCAACGACCACTTTGAAATCCTCTTCCAATGATCTATTAATATACTTTTGGAAGTCAAATTTTGCGTGGCTTTGAGGTGCCAAATGTGCCTGAAATTAATGGTAATTAATTAAAGATAGATAAGTGTTGGAGATTGAATATAATAAAAATCGTTATTACTTTGTCAAATAGAGTAATTAAAAAAAATGATATTGTATGCGGATGAAAAATTCAATACCATGATGAATCCATGTCTCAAGGTTAAGTAATCAACTTTGGGCACCGATCTCACGAATTGTCGGAAGAAACAGACCTAAAACAACATAAAAGTCAAAGTAATTAAGGTTTAATTAACAGAGCTAAACAAATCTGAAATGGCTACATTTAGAAGGAATTGAAAGAGTACAAAAGTAAGAATTAGTACACTAAGTCAACAAAAGAGAAGTCAATAATCATTAGCCAATAATAGGCTCATCTGTTCTTAATTTTTTGTTTTTCCTTGGAACAGGTCAAACTCACTAAAAAGTCAGTTCACACACTTTAATTGTCACAATTTGTGTGTTTGGCTTCTTGCTCTGATTAGCTTTGTCATAAGTCTTCCTCCTAAAGTTCATGAACCATACATCTTCTTCTTTACCATTTTTACCAACAAAAAAAAACAAAAAACAAAAAAGACAAAAGCGAGAGAGAGAGAGAGAGAGAGAGTCATCCTGAAATTTTTAAACTAATACGTTACAGAGATAAACTATACCAATAAATTCATAAGCTATAATGTGAGAAATCGTTATTGACGAGTCAATTTCAATCTAGCTTGAATGGGGTATGTTTGAGGTATATTGACATTTGATAGGATACCTATGCTTAACTTATTCAAGCAACTTGGGTTAGATATTTTACGTATGAAATTATTGAAAAACAAAGTTTGACCAATTCGGAATCATATATTCCATTTGTCTGCTTTGCAATAATTTGTTCATATATTCTCTCCATCTAACGAATCATAAACATGATCATCATATCGCAAAATTCTTGGAGTGTTTGATTGTGTTCATTCTACGTACCTAGATGAATATGCAGATGCATGTGATACATGATTCAACATAATCTTGAAAATAAGTTGTGAATGAATGTCTATTAATAAATTTTGATATGGAAAGAGTTGAAAAATGGTTGGTCCAAACTTACAATCCAAAGTAGAATGGGGGACTTGCTCCAAAAGCTCAAATGCCTTCTTCCGAAAGATGTTTCTCTTGCAAATCTGAACCTCTCTGGATCTGCTCGCATCACATTTAAAATTTATTAAAATTAAGTACCAACTAATTATAGAATGTTTAATTAGGAAATTATTTTGGGAACCAAGAGATTGAATTCCAATATACGTGGACACGTTTCATGTGTCTGATGATTATTGTTACTTGTGTCTGACGGAAACTACCACTTTTTATCCATGCATAAAACCACAACTTAAATGATTCCTATCTTCTGTTTCAGTTAAGTCCACAAGATTCAAAAGTGGGGTTGCAACGATAATTACCATGAGAGAACTGGTATTCGGCAGTTCTTGTTTCTTTTTCCCACGCCTTCCAACTACTCATCTGGTACCACAGAGAAACATAAATTAGGAGAAAAAAAAAATAGGCACAATAATTCTTTATTAAAAATTAAAAAAAAAAAGGGAAAATTCGGAATATGAGTGATATGGAATACCTTAGCTCTGCCCAAGGCATAGGTCAAAATACAATAGAGGACATGAAAAACAGCCAAGACGAAGATGAAAATGTGCAGCTGATGAATTCCATCGGTTGATACAAACGATACTTTTCCCTGTCAAAAATTCATACGACGAGTCAAGAATTCCGAATTTCACCCTAATATATATAATACTAATTTTTCATCCATGCAATAATCCAAATGAAAATCCTAACTCCCGTGTTCATCGTAAACAATGTTTTTCTTTTCATATGTAATAAAAGTACCGTCTTGATTCCGCCATAATAAAATAAAAAGAGTGCGTCGTCTGAAAGGGGAAGAAAAATACAAAAATCTGTAGACTAAAAATGGTACTTACCTTGGCTTCACATTTGTCGCCACCTCCAGCTGCCAAAATGCGGCGAAGTCCGGCGGCCTGGTCATCGGAGAGAAGTCTCCTTCCGACAAGTTCTTCAAAATTTGCATACTTTTTGGCTTCTTGCTTCTTGCTGCAAGGATGCCAAGTTGCTCCTATTTCTTTTGAAATGCATATGTCACTGATTGGTCCTTGTCCCACCGTTAATAGCAAGGAGATGAACCCCAACAGCATTAGCTCTGTCAAATCATTTTCATGCACCCCCACCATCAAAAAAAGGTGAAAAAAAAAATAAATTGAAAGCGAAACTTTTTTTTTATTGGTTATCTTATTTGTTTTTTATTGTTTCTTTTTTGGATAATGAATAATTTATAACTTACCTGACTTGATCTTTTCAAGTGCTTCAAATAGTGCCCTTTTATGCTTTGATTTTAACCACTGTAAAAAGAAAAAAAAATAGATAGATAGGTTCGGGTCAATTTCATGTTATTTAACGTCTACGTCCAAGAAATAACGATCTGAATTGATTTTTCTTTGAAATTATAGCTGTGTAGATTAACGTACCTTTCCGATGAGATGGATGATGAATTCAATCAGTATTGAAATAGCAAGCAAAACAAAACAAACGACGGCAACCGCCCACGTCGGCGTTTGCTCCAACGACCTTCCTCCACCACCTCCGGCCATTTTTCACTTTACTTTTTTCCCTTTCCCCGGCTGGCTTCTCTAACAAAGCAAGTTGTGCTAACCTTCGAACTTATCAGTTAGTTATACAACTAATAAGAAAAACTCTTGAAGAAATGAAAGAATACGTGTACTATACTATAATAGTAGTACAAAATAATGATTTGTGAGTTTTTGGTTCTTGCTTTTTAAAGGCGGCTCTAAACTCTAAAGGCTAGACAGAGAGAGAGAGAGAGAGAGAGAGAGAGAGAGAGAGACAAAGAGAGAAAGAGATGAGTTGAATATATATTAACAAAGGCATGAGAGTTAAGAAGACTTTGAAAATGGCGATGTGTATTTATATATGAAAGCAGAGAGAAGAAGATGAGGTTTTAATTTTGGAGTTAGGGAAGGTAAGAGAAAAGGGAAGAAGTCAGTGAGGCAGCGTAGAAAGAAGAATTTTGGCGTCGTGACGATGATGAGTCGACGGGTTTGACTTTCTTAGACGCGTGAGTTTTTATCGTAGACTGATTTTTGAGTGATAATACATTCCCAGATCGGGTCATTCGGCCCCCCATTGGGGATGGCTAAATCCGGAATAGGTTTTGGACCTTTCCCGATTCTATTACTATTATACATGCTCAATGGATTCTCAAAATTACTGTATATCCTTCGTCTCAAAAATTATTGTCCAATTGAAAATTTTTAATTTTAGTATAAATTGGACTAAAATTAAAATTCCAAACCGAACGTTAATTTTTGAAACAGAAGAAGCAGTAGGTAATTTTTTTTTTTCTTAGAAAAAGAAAGTGCTAGCTAATGGTTGATGCTACCATACAAAAGGGCACATACGTTTTCAGTTTTTCACTCTAATTCCCAAGAAAGAAAGGGGGAATAAAAACACAAACATTGGGAGAAAGAAGAATTGGAATTTTTCTTATATTTAATTAAGGGGGATGGAATTCCAAATTTAGTCCTTATTCATTGATGTGTGACAATTATAAAACTCGTGCATATCCTTCCAACGTCCTTTTTAATCTGTTATGTAAAGTCTCTTAAGTAGTTTGTTTGTCAATTTTCTTTGTTGTTAGCCATTTGGAAAATTCGTCCATCATCTTCATATATACCGTACAGTGCATGTATGTCACATATGTTCCAAAATTATTTGAAGAAAGAAATAGGTCAACTATGAAATTTAAGGTGCAATCAAATAATACACATATATATATATATATATATAGTTTATAGAGTACACTATCTATGCAAGGGACTAACAATTTTATCTTGAATTCAAAAAAATTAAATAACTCATATTTTTCCGTCTCAAAATAAAAGTATAGCACGTAACGTATGATAAGAATCCAAGTATGATGTGAGTGAACAAAATTGATATGGAAGGAAGAGGGATGATGTTCGACAAGTAGAGAAGTTCATTAGCAACTTGTTTAGCTTTAATGTGAAAACTTATTTGAAGTTAACCGGGATTTGGGAGAGACATCCTTTGGTAACATAAATTTTTTTACATATTTTCACTTCATCACTCTTCAAGTCAACTTCAATAGATTAGTTAGTAAACTGGGAATAATACTGGATATATATAGATCATTACTGGCCGTCGGATCCATTCAATCAGCTGACCCAATAAAGTGATTAATGATTGAACAAGTCAAATTAATTAATTATAACCTTTATACAGTTCATTCATGAAATGGTAGGTGACGTATTCGTTCGTCTAAAAAGAAACGATGCTTTGAAACTTACCCATTCCACTCCATTTCTCTTTAAGTAGATAACTTAAATGACCAATAGAATTGAAACATGTCTTAAGATAAACAAAATATGTGATAAATTAATTATTACTTATTATTCTCTCTGTCCCAAAATTATTGCCAAGTTTGAAATTTCACTTTTAGTACAATTTAAACCAAAAATAAAAACATAAACTGCATAATAATTTCGGGACGGAGGGAGTATCAGTTAACAAACAACTAGTCTCTAAAAACTAACTTAAATTATACTTCCACTGTTCCACAATAATAGTCTACATTAAGTTTTGAGTTTTGTATTATTTTTATTACAGATTTAAAATTTTAATGTGGACTGTTTTTTTGGAAACGGAGGTAATATGATGAATCGGCAGAACTCAAGTCGTGACTGAAATGTAACTTTGTTTATCCACTCATAACCACAACATGTGTAAGTGCTTAGAGCCTCGGCTTAAGGACATTTAATTAGTATCCAACTGGAGATAATATAGGGAGGCTCCGGTCTCATTGCAAGTAGGAACCAATTTCTCTTTCTTTGGGGTCCATAAGAACAAAAACAGAGTAGAGAAAGAAACGTTACAATATTGTCAAGTGGAACATGCATATGGCAATAATTTCTTCCCATTTAGCAGACACGTCAAAATTTACAGAATTTATGAGGCTCGAACTTGTCTCAACTTTCTTAATCAGTTCTACTGATGCAAGTGGGAAAGAGAGTAGGTAGTAGTACTCGATCTCCAACTGGGCAGATGTATTTGAATTTTTTTTAGTGCGTATTTTTTCTATTATAAATATGAATAGATATATTAGAAGTATACAAATTCGTACGGAAATGTAGATGTACAGTATCGATAAAAAAATGTTAGAAAAGTGTTAAAAAAATTAAATAAAGGTTCGGAGCAACAAATGAAGAATAGAATGGTAGGAGCTAATTATGTACCGCAAAAAAAAAAAATCGCAATTATTGTCAAATTTAAAATTTCATTTTTAGCACAATTTAATTATATTAAAAAATAATACCCTCTTATTTCAAAATTATTATCTAATTTAAATTTTAATTTTTTTAATAAAAATTAAATTATGTTAGAAATGAAAATCGAAACCGTATAATAATTTCAGAATCGAAGGGTAGTAGTAACACTAACAGCCACATGGGGGAATAAAATTGGCCATCTGAAACCGAAGTTCGGTCTACACATACGCATGTATATTGCTCTCATCCTTTTTCCCTGGATGACTTTTCCATGATTTGATTAGATTTTGGAGTCAAATCCTTATAAATGATGTGGAGGACAATTTTATACTAGTTTTACGAGATTCAGACTCGAGGTAATCTTTTTTTTTTTTTCCCTTCAAACCAGACAAGTAAATTAACATAACAGTCGTACTCCTTTCAGTTCCAAAATAGTAAAAATTTAAAACTAAAATGATACAAGAAAGACGAATTTCCCATGGAAAGAACAAACGGAAAAGAAGGCAGAAAACGAAGAAGAAGATGTTTTGAGACAGAAAGCTGCAGCGTGCATTTGGATTGAAGCAACAAGAAAATATTCTTCAATACATAGAATATGGTACTGATCATTGAAAGTGCAGACGTTTGCGAGATTGATAGAATAAAAAATTGTGATTTTTTTTATTAAAAAAAAAAAGAAAGAAAGAAAGGAAAATATGGACAAAATTGTAACGAGATTTGGGTGATCTGAACGTGATTCTTTCATTTTGGTTTAAATTAAGGGTACATTGTATGAATTTCTACATATAATTTGTCTGAATACAACGTAAGACTCATCATTTTTGTGACCTTATTGGCTCTTTCAGGAATCTCACAACTGACCCATGAATTCCCATGTACTCATCCTAATTAAATTTTGGAAAGCACAGAAGTATATTATGTTTATGTTAATCTTGGCATTCTTAATTACCAGCTAAACTATGTACTTAATCCTCAGATAGCAACGACCGTACTGTTTGGCCGAGGCTGTCAGATACAATTCTTTATCGGCAGCTGAACGATTTCCGGCACACATGAAATGAATTTGTTTTTTTTCTCAAAAAAAAAAAAAAAAAAAACTAAAATACGGGATTTTGAATACTCGGAAAATGGTCGAATCATGGTTAATTTAAATGTCATAATTAGTAACGAATATGATACAAATTATTGGTCCTCGTTTCACGATGCGAAATTGCGAATCAAGCATGTAAAATTCTAGATGGAGGTCGATCTCATCATACCAGAAATTTCATAACAAATGATTAGTCGTTCGTTTACAGTTCCAGTTTGGAAATTAATTCTGACTCTTCTTTTAAATGAATGGATGATATTGGAGTCACAACCATATTCGAGTAGCTTGGAAGGAAGATCATCATCATCATCATTATATATTATAGACTTGAAAAATGATCCGACGTTTACTTCCAAAAAAGAAGTCAAACATATGGATCTGGTCTTTTTTTGAGAAAAATGGTATCATTCTTTATTACCATTGGTTGATATATATATTCCAATCTTCAACGTATTTTATTTTTTTTTAAAAAAAAAATCCGGAATATTTGTTAGGCTGAATTTGTAGTTGGCAATATTTCTTCCATTTACTATTTCTTTTAAAAAATAAAATGAAATTCTTTTCAATGCAGGTGTCAATAATTGTACAGTTGACACAACAACAATATAATTGACCAAACACACACCAACCAAAAAAAAAAAAAATGAAATATTAGGTCAGTAGAAAAGTAGTGCTGCATCAAATTTTTGCTGAATAGGGTTGTAATTCAATGGCACAAGTAGAGTAATCTGAATTTTTTTTTATCAGCTTAATACCTCATCAAATATTTGACTTTACCAAGTGAATGCATATGTATTCTGGTTTTTTCTTATTGACAAGTGACTAATGACTCTATATATACTCAACTCCTTCCTTCCTATAAAATTGACATGTTTATTTGTTGCCACATTTTAGTTTTAAGTCGTATTAAAACTTAACATGGTCCGTATTTTTCACCAAACAATGTATCACTTGACATTTGTTGTTTTTGTTGTATAAGAAAAGAAAAAGACACAATAAACACAACAAAAGAGATAGCCAGCGTTTTCCTTTGAGGCTTTGATTAGTAATTTCTGGTCAAAACTGATTTACTTAAGTTACAACATAAGAGATACTTAAAAATGTGTTTTTTTGAGTTCTTATAGGACAGAACTGCATTTTCTTGATGCGTTAGCACGTGTGAATTTGGTAAACAACATTGTGTCGACTTCGAATTATGGAAATGTTATTCGATACATCAGTTACAACAAACAAATTAAACTATAGTACTACAAACTTTCTTTAATTCCTTCATTGACTGTTTACTTTAATTAAGAAAACAGAATATATTCTTTCTGTCCCAAAATTATTGTCCAGTTTCAAATTTTACTTTTAGTACAATTGAACTAAAAATAAAAACCCAAACTGGACAATAATGATGGGACGGATGGAGTATTTCTTTTTTATTAAAGTATCGATCGAGTTGTAGTATTATCCATGCGATGATACAAACAGTTGGATTTAATAAATTTATTGACTTAGTCGATCGTCAAAGCATCAAAGCAATCGTAAAGTTTTCCTTATACCTTTTCAGTCCGTCATTTCCCCAGTTATTAACTGTGTTGAAGTGTTTGCCAAGTCTTCTAACAACGCTTTAAGTACTTAATGATCTCGTGAATATATAATAATTTTTCGTGTTACGATCTTGTTTCCAATAAACTCTTACGCCGGAGAGTTTCCAAAAATCCACCAATAGTACTTGCGATTATGTTAGTACGTACACATTGTACCAATTCAAAAGATTTTTTAATGCATATTTAC